GGACAAAAAAACAAACCTGCATAGAAATCGGAATAATAGGTCTTTTGATTATCGGAGACTCATTTCAATGGACTTGATTACGGACAATGCATAACTTAAATTTCACCAGGAAATTCCGCAGTGTGCTCTCGCAATCGCGTACTTAGTCATTTTTACAAGGTTCGTCATTTTTGATGTCACGTGATAATTATGTAAACAATGTCTGTCCAGTTTGTGCGAACTTGCACCTCTATACTTAGTCTTTTGATATATATAACCTAAATTACTGTTCTGAACGAGACAACAGACAGAGAATGTTTTATTTAAAAACGTCACAAAACCTTCTCGCTACCTTAAATGCTTCGACTGATTATATTCAAATTTTATATATTCGTTATACATCATGTTACATGTATATATATACATGTATTCAAACTGGCTGATTTTGAATGCTGTTCCAGAGCAATATCTCTCAATATGGACAAGTACTTTTTTGACGATCAGATACCAATGTCAATCATTTTAATGTTAAAAAATCATATTCCTGACATGGTTATATTCCAGCTATATTACTATAAACAAAACTATATATCTTAAATTTGATAACTACCAGGGACTGTGCCATGCATGGCTTGTTTTGATTTTCAAATTACAAGTGTATCAAGTTAGATACTGTAAAACATGTTGAAAAAGTGACATGCAATTTTAGCGAATTGCGGTAAAATGACGTAATAGCGAAATGTTGATTTAGCGAATCTCTCTTGTCATTGTTGATTTCCTGTTTTCACAATACAAATGCGCAGTTATCACCTCCATAAAAACAACAAAAACTGTCAAGTGTAATTAGGGAGCGCCCCAGATTTTTATGTTCCGGATTACTGTACAAATTACAAATCCCCAGGCCTTGGCCATTTTGGATTTATAATGAAGTCATTAGCGATATCTTGAATTAGCGAATCAGTTCTCTCGCTAAATTCGCTAAAAAGACATGCTCACGAAAAAGACATGTTTTACAGTAATCAGTGACAATTTAAAGTATTTTTATCTTTTTTCCATTGCAGGGTTTACACAATAGCTAGAAAACATCCAATGACATGGCTGCAGTGGGGATATATGATTGTTACTCTACCTTTTCGCTTTGTATATACAACTATTATGGACATGTTTAGATTTACACTTAGTTTCATTAGACCGGATCCCCGGAGAATTGTAACTGATCCCATAGGTGATGTTATGACATTTATACAAAAATATGAAGAAACGTATGGGCGTATTCATCCTATATTTTATCAAGGTACCTACAGTCAAGTAAGTTATTATAATTTTGGTACAAAGTAGCTACTGTAAAATCCTTTATTTTAGCTGGAATTAATTTTGGCTAAAAAGACATTTTGGATGTTTTGTATAGAATTTATTTTCACTGATTTTTGACCAGACGAATGTATAACATAGGAAAAAGGAATATTAGTATTTGATTTATTTTCACTGAATCATCCCTTCTTCGAAAATAAAGTATTTTACAGTAATTAAAACACTAATTTAGAAGAGATCAGTTCAGAGGACGGAATATGTATTTTTTTTAAATGCTGCTTGAGATGCTTCTTGCTTTGTGCTAGTCACTGCAGTATAAAATAAACCACTTGTGTGTTCTCTACCTTGCAGGTTTTAAATGATGCGAAAAGGGAATTGAAATTTTTATTAGTTTATCTCCATGGCAATGACAATGCTGATACTAATGAATTTTGTCGGTAAGTTGTAGACATTGTTTAGTATTGCCTCGTTTTTACTCTCACCTCATTGGCCTTATTGAAATGTTCCAACAATTAAGAACAACTTATTTGCTCTATTAGAACATTTAGTATATGCTGGATCATAATTTGAGTACATGTGGTTTTAATGAAGAAAATACAGTTACTGTGTCACAAAATCTATTGCATCATTCTATATATTGTAGAATACTTTATTTTTGCTTGGAATTTATTTTCGCTATTTTCGCTGAAGGGATGATTCCGTGAAAATAAAATCCAGCGAATATACTTCTTTTCCTATATTTCACAATAAACTCATCAGAAATCAGTGAAAATAAATTCCATACAAAATGCCCAAAAAGCCTTTTCAGCGAAAATTAATTCCAGCGAAAATAAAGTATTCCACAGTACTTTAAATGCCAAATAAAAGACTGCTGCAGTTTACCCAAGAGATAAATTAGCTCAGGACATTTTGTCCAAAGTAACAACTAGCCTCATGGGACATTTTTAATCTGCCATAATTTGGGGATAAACAGTCAATTTAACAGAAAATTCTAAAGCCCCGGTGAGAATCTGAATCTCTGCTACACCACTCCCACTGATTTTTTAGAGTGGGGATTTCTAAACTTAACTTCCAATCATTTAATGAGAGTACATAGAAACAAAAAAGGGTAAATTATATACTGCAGTTTGTAAATTTATTTGTCATTTCAAGTGATTTTCGAAATTTTCTGCACTTGTTCATCTATAACCTGAGGGTGCAAAATAAAAATACGTTTTGCAAAGGATAAATGGGGACACTGAGTTTTTACAATATAATTTTATCTGGTGCTACAACTCTTGTAATAACAACTCATGTCTGTCTGTTTATAGGAATACTTTGGGCAATAGGGATGTGTGTGATTTTGTAAATACTAGAATGTTTTTCTGGGCTGCATCAGTGAGCACACCAGAGGGATATAGAGGTATGTTAGCATTAAATGACTTTCCATGGAGAATTTGGAGAATTGCATGTATATATATCTGTAATTCTTCTGCCATACTCCTGTGGCATTGATAACTACTGTAAAATCTGTATTAGAAGCAACAGTTTCTATTAAAATGATACAATGCAACAGAATGCTTACAGCTTCTGTTAGCATGTGTACACATATGAAACACGATTTTGTTCTTGAATGTTCAAAAAAAATGGGTGTGACTTTTTTTTACGGTTTCTATACAGATTTTATGGTAAATGTAATTTATTGTTTAAAAAAAAAAAAAGAATTCTCATTCAGTTTGCTTATACTATAGAAGGTGAAATATTCACTGTCTTTTAGTCTTTAATTTGATGTTTCTGGAATATTATCCAGATTTTAGTTTCACTGGAATATCAAATAAGTGAAAATTAAACCCAGTGAATACTTGAGCCTGATACAGTATTCTGTATTGTTTATCAATGAGCATGTGTGTTCAAGCATAGGAGTTATTTTGGCCAATCATTCTCTTTGCAGGATGGGAGAAGCTCCCTCATATTGCGACTGTAATGATTTAATTGCTTTGCCTCTCTGCAAAAATACTTTGTAAAAAAAGTTCTTGCAATACATGCAGTATTTGACATAAGACTGCTAATAAAATTCTCATAGGTGACAGTGTTAAATGTTTGATCACAAATTCAAAACTTTTGTTGAGCCAATTTAATGTCAGTTACCTGTAGCCCAGTTATCCGTGGGTAATCCGTCAAATTTTATTGACGTCACATGCCATGAATTTTCATGAACCAACCCAAATAATGGACCACAGTACTATTTTTGGCAAAATCAAAGAATTGGATAACACATCTTATCCCAAACATCTGTGACTTTCAAATTGTCTGACATTTTATTTGACCTACTGAACACGTATTAAAAAAATCAAAACTTGAACCTGAATTTCACTTGTCCCAAGTCTCATTCCTTAACGTGACTATTATTGAAGTAACAAATGTTGATATGTATTTTAATTATAATTTCATATTCTTCTGTACAGTATCTTTAGCACTACGTGGCAACTTTCAACCGTTTTTAGCTCTGATAGTTCTCAGAGAAAACAAGATGACAGTAGTGGCGAGGATAGAAGGTCCCATAGAGGCTGAGGATCTCTTAACTAGACTAACACAAATAATGAATGATAATGAAGGTTCCTTAGCTGCTGTCAGAATGGACCGAGAAGAAAGAAATCATACACATATATTGAGACAGGAGCAAGATGTTGCGTATTTGGAGTCACTTAGGGCAGATGAAGAGAAGGTATGTTTTCTGTAGGTAGGATGCTGCTAATTAGATAAAAATCTGGAAAATGATCAGACATGCTATATTCTTGGTTAGCCGAGTGAAAAGTTACATTAAATAAATTATAATAAAAAGTGCTCATGCCCCATTAGTATCATCAAGTGGGAAAAGTGCATTTAGGCCAACTTGTTTTGTGTCAAAGCAATTTCTTCTGATGCCTCAGTGACGTGTCTTGGCTGATAGTGATATGTTAGTGTAATTATGGCATTCAAATGCAACAATGAGTTACCATAAGTAGCTGTTTTCCCATTAGATCTCACAGTTTCTTATGTAATATTGCTCACTGTAGTGTGTTACCTGGCTATCTCATAACAGCATTGTATCGCAAGGGTTCATTGTTATTGACAGCATATTTTTTTCTGCTATTGTGCAGGAAAGAAAAAAAATGGAAGCAAAGCAAAGAATTGAACAGGAAGAGGAAGATAAATTGAGAAAAGAAGATGAAAAGAAAAAACTGTTAGAGGTGAGAAGTTAAATTTTGTAATGCTTGGTGACTTCTATATCCTTAAAATACTACAGGACCTTGTTGTATTTGATAAGAGTCATACATTTATGCATGGTAAATCACCTACGTTTGTTTGCTAATACAACAACTGTTTCACTAGAAGTTACAAGAATATAGTTCAAATATGTTTCTCTTTCCATTAAACGTATGCATCTTTAGTGGGTCTGGCAATAAAAAAAATCATATTGTGATGACAAAATTACAATATTGTGGGTTCTTTGCAGGAGAAACAACGATTAAAAATTTGTAAAGCCGAAAATTTACCCTGTGAACCACTCTGTGATGACCCTGATGTAGTTAAACTTGTTATGAAATTTCCAAATGGTACACGAATAGAAAGAAGATTTCTTGATTCTGACTCAGTTGAGGTATGTATATATATGTACAAAATATGTCTATGCCTTTCTTCTGGCAATGTTTACATTCAACACAATGTGCATGTCTGTCTGGTCTAAAACTTCCCTCCAATAACATTGATTATGATTATACAATTTACTAACAATAGCACTTATGCAGTCAATAAAATTTTGCTAAACTTGCAACAGATGCAGATGTGCACAGATGAAAATAATGCCTTCAATCCCAAACTTCTTTGCAGCTTTGCTGGAGTTTTTTTTTTTATACAAGTCCAAGAACAAAACAACTGACAAGTACACTACACTGTGTGTGTACATAGTCAAAGCAGTAAGCCTGAGAGAACTATATATGGACACCATGGTTTAATCCTTATTCTCACAGCCCCATGTATTTTTACATTGACTTGACCAAAATGACATCAGATGTTTTGAAAAAAAGTGAGCACATCCTGCCCCAAACAAATACGGATTACAGCTCTAGCAGTGGCACATACATCACTTTGGTTTAGACATTGTTTTTACTTTGTGCTGTATTGCACCAGACTATGAAGGTGGTTCATTTGCAAAATTTACTTTGAAAATACCAAAATTATTATTACATGGACATGTGACTAATTTGCATGGTTGTTTCATGACTCTTGATAATCTTGTTTATGGAAAAAATAATTTTAGAGGTTTTATTAATCAAATATGCATAACTATAACATTAGACAATATAAACGAAGTGTTGAAATGCACCAAGGCAATTCAAGTTGGGCATCAACTGCCAAGAAGACTCAACTTCAGAAGGGACTATTTTATCTGATTTGCATATTTTTTGCAGTAAATACCCCCTGGTACCAATATTATTGAGCATTGTTGTAACTATGACAACCACAGTGCATATGTAATAATACCTTGTTGTTGATCTTAACGATAATTATTCTTAACGAATAATTAATAAATTACATGCACATATTTGTCAACTGGCGGGAGATTCCAATGCCACAGAATCATGTAGACATTTAGTGCTGTCGTATTTCTGTTCGCAGTAAATCAATGTACAAATACTCTAGCTGTGTTGAAATTGTTGTGCCGGTAGATGGATAAAACACCAGTCTTTTCGTTTTTTTTGAATAAAATATCATTATCTGCAATGGTTTTCTCATGGGGAAAGCGAATGGATTTGGTGTTTGGTACTTTGATAAAATGTTACATATTATTTTTTGTTGTTTTGAATGATGTGAATAAATAATTTATTATAATTAAAAATGTGACCAATCATCGTGCCATGTCCAATTTTGGAGTGCAGGCGAATCATATAGCAAATGTTCTGGAGTCTATTTTTAGTAGCAAAATGGAGATTGAGAAATCTGGGATATTTTTCAATATCCAATCAACACTGTCATAATGGCCATAAGGCCAGACTTTTATTATCCCTTGTTTCGCGAACCCGCCGAATGAAAGGAAGCCAAAAATGAAATAAAATTTTATTTCAGCGTAATTTCTCGCACCCGCCAACTTGTGAGTGCAAACAAAAATTGTTATCTTAATTTTGTTTCCACCCACCGCCTAACTAATCCAAGTTGCATTTTCATTGGAGTATCATGATCAAAGTACCGAAGTCTTGTGCAGATCTATGCTTTATGCGCGTTGGTTGACAGTGAATCTCAAGTATTGACCTCTCGGCTTGCTGCTTGAGACTACTAGGCGAACATGATGACGGCGGCGTGGTTTGTGGTGACACGCCGTGAAACTCGTCGTCAAAAACTGAGAAATCCCTCATTAATGCGGAAAATTTTGCTCCAATTGGCAACATTGCCAACCATGGAATACAAATTTATTTCATTTCTTCTTTCTGGTCAAAGATCTCACTTGCAATTTTTTGAGAATCACACAAATCTAATGGAAAAAAAAAAAATTTATTTCTCCTCAAAAAAATTTACTTATAAAAACTCGAGAAACAAGGAATAAAAAAGTCTGACCTAATCATGATTTATTCTAAGTAACTTTTATGCTCTCTCAACTGAAAGTTTTTCTATGTTAATTTCTTTCACAGGTGTTGTATGACTATGTCTTCTGCAATGAGAATGCTCCCGAAAAGTTTCAAATTGTGACAAACTTTCCCAGAAAGGTTTTATCATGCCAGACGTCAGATGACTGTCCCAAACCGCCAACTCTGTCCGAAGCGGGTCTTGGAAAAACTGAAATGTTATTTGTGCAAGACATTGCTGATGATGATGATGAGGAGGAGGAATCATAGTAACTGCTGTTTTGTTGCTAAATTGAGAAAAATAAAAACACTATATGTCTGCCACACAATGACTGCCACGTCGTGGGATAAGTTTTTGTCACACTACGGATGTAAACAGTCGCAGTACCCCGGTATCAGTGCCAGTATGTCAGTCTGACAAATCCAGTATGTCATTTTTTTTTTTTTTTTTTGTAGGGTTTCATGTATGTACAACTTTCATAACACAGTTCTATGTATGCGTACATGAGACTGGCTCTAGATGACAGCATTAAGTGTTATCATTTTAATAAAAAAATCTATAGTCATTTAATTAATTGTCTTTTGTTTCTTAAAGAAACAAGAGGATTGATCATCATGTTTAAGCAGTTTTATGCTCATATTTTACTATCAAGAACATGTTAATTTGTTATCAAAAGAACACCTTCGAAATGTTTATCATTAAAAAAA